CTTTTCTTGCCCTTCTGTTTTGTTTGTGGCTACAGGAAACAGAACTTCCCCAATGTTCTCTTAAGAATTCTGCCTATTTAAGTGGAATGGGACCAATCTATACTTAAGCAAATATTCCAGTACTACCAAAAATGTAGTTTCCTGTAGTTTCCTGTAAAATGCATTCATATATTTTAATTCATATATTTTAAAGCTTGTAATTACGAAAAAAAAAGAAAAAAGAAAAAGGAAAATAAAGAGTTCTGCATCCAGGGCTATATCAATAAAAGGAATATATAAGGCAGCATATGCCTTAGTAAGGGGGGGGGGGGGGGCAGCTCACACTGGGATGGCTGCTGCCCTTCCTCACTGATGTGCCATTTATCCACTTATGCAGCAGCTGCTGAAACATCAGCATTTACAGCCAGATTGAACACGAGTTTGGCGCTATTTGGTCTGAGCATAGTTGGTTGTAAATAGCCATTCAGCATCCTTTCTGCCAGCACCTGAGCAGCAGGGGAAACCTGGAGAGATGAGAGGCCAGAAGAAGAAATAGAGAACCTATCCCAAAATAAGCCTGCAGATTTCACAGGTTCTTGCTTTAAGAGGAAGATGATAACGATCAAAACAAACAAGAAAGCTAAAACTCCAGCTTAGAGCCTCAGTTCTCCAAACTCTTACCAATGCTTTTCTGCTCAGGGAAGCCCTGCTCACTTTGCTGGGAGTTATTCCTGAAGACAAGCTGTACCAGCAGTCATGTCCTTCCTGCTCTTTCTCTGGAAAGATCCAGTTCCTCGTAATCATTCTGAATCACAGCACACAGCCACGGGACGTGCATCCCATCCTCTGCTGAGATGTAATGATGAAATACATATAAAACTTCAAAATAATGGATAAATTCTTCCTTCAGAATAACGTGAGTATTCCTTTGTCATACCCTGTCATTTCTTTATAGAAAGAGGTTCAGGAAAAATGAAAGATGTGAATCCCTATCGTTAGGAGAGCTGACTGCAATAAATGTGCTTGATAATGTGCTTACTATTCCAGACCATATGCCATCCAAAGAAAAGCACTGTCTTCCAGCGCTTACACTCAAACCAATGAAATGTGTGTGCTTACAGTGGTACAGCAGAACTAAATAATACACCGATGCACTTACAAAATCTTTCTGAGAACAGCTTTTTAAACATTAAAGGTAGAGTTTTGTATTTATATTGCAGTTTATGGATAGCCATAAACATTACAGAAAACATTTCCTAGCTGTGAAAGGACTGAGGATCTAAATCTACCTCACCTCTTTTAATTTATTTTGCACCATAAATGATGTTGAAATATACTGAATTTAACAACTTTCAAATCATTTCTGTACTTTGCTTGTGTATTTTAGAAAAGTAAATCGTATAAATGCACTTCCCCCAGTCAGAAGTAAGCGTGACATCATATAAAGGGAATGTACACAACACCAAAAGTGTCCTGCTGGTTTGTGTTAGCTTCCCTGGTCAGATCCATCCTGCGTAGCTCTAGTTAAGCTTTACCAGTTTGAAAATAGAGATATGTGTTTGAACAAAGAGGGAACAAAGGGTTCACTGCGGGGAGAAGCTTCCCTGCACCCAGCAAACATGGAGCAAAGCTGATAGGAACATTTCAAAGGTGAGTGCACACAAATTGATCCATGGTCTTTTGGTAGAAATTTAACCTCTCCTCCTCAAAACTGCCATGCTCAGGAAAAGAAAGAGAGAGAAGAGAGATGAAAATTCTTACAGAGAGCTTTAATTTTTTTCTCCTTCATCCAGATAAATATTCACATATTTCCCCAAACAGATGGGTAAAATGACCTGGGAGTTAAGGAGAAGGCAGGTCCTTAGGCAGTGAGGGGAACAGAAATGTTACCACATGTTTAAAACAAACGGCACATCATGGTGGGTCAGGCTGAGTAATGGAGGCCTTCCTCAAGGTTTGTTTCTTGGAGTCTTTGCTGGGGTTTTTCACTGAGGTGAGCGATGAAAACATGTATTTCTTCTTCTTAGTTGGAAGAAGTCCATATTTGAAAATGGACTTAAGAATAACTCTGAGAAGACAACACCACTATAATGCACACTCATTTCATGTGCATATTTCTTATCTCTACGTTAGCCAGTTAAACTGAGTTGATGCCCAGCTGTTGGTGGCAATACAGGCAGCAGTGTCATTGTAGTTCATCAATGGCTTGTTAGAAAATTGAGGTGCTAATTAAGATAAGAGAACAGGAAAAAAAAAAAAGAAAAACAAACCACTTGCATTTGAACTGTGTATTTACTGAAAGATCACAGCCCACTAGTAGGAGGCATATTGAGCAGATGAGTTGGCAGAGCCACACAGACAGCTGGTTTTGTCTGGCATACAGGTGTTTAACTTGGCTGCTTACAGATGAGCCACTTCATGCCAGAATCAGTGAGGGATCACCTCGTTTAAGAAAAGGTAGCTCTTGTCCATCCCCATAGCAAGTTCAGTGAATGAGCCAAAATGGCTATTTTATTTCCTCCCCACTCATCTCTGACATGGTTCAAAAACCCCACTCTTCTTCTGCAAGAATTGAGTTTAGATGAGAGAAAAAATAGTCACTGTAGGTATCGGATTGTGGTTTTGCCTTTTCTCATGGTAGGTGTAGCAAGAACACACGTTGCTGGTGCTCAGTAATCATTTTTTGGCTCACAAGCTATTGTTCATATTTTGTTATTCTTCAGAAGATGGCTGGATCATTTTCAATAGATAGCCGAGCTCTGTGTGCCTTTATTTGAAAGAATGTTTTTCAGTAGTTCCAAGATGAGATAGTATTTGAATGTAAGTATGTTGGGATTCAGTCTGAAACTTTTGGGTTTTGTCCAAAACTTCAGAGCACAGAAATAGCTGTATAACATCAGCAAAGACAGTCTGCTGTTTTTTAAATTGTAGTGAGACATAAAGCAAATGTGCTTTATGTGCTGTTGATAGGTGCCATCTGAGAATCTCCAATAGCAGTTTTAGATACACATGGTTAATGAAATGCTCTCTATTGGAATTCAGATCGTCAAATCCAAACCTGGTGTAAATAGGTTAAAGAAACTTGCCCAGAACATAATATTGTCATTGGTGTACTTTTCATTTTTATAGTCTGTGTGTTTGCAGCTCTAGTGGTCTGAAATGGCTGTTGAAGCCAAAGTTCTCCTGTCTGGTATTCCAGCCTACTGCCCTGTCAACAGCACTCACTTGATGCCTTTTACGGCGCCTGTCTTTCCTGTATGGAATCAGTTTTGTGAGGAAGAGATGGAGCAACCTCGCTTGAATTCAGATACGTGACTACCATAAAAAAATTATAGTGAAATTTTAATAAACTTCTTCATTATTATTTTTACCCATTATGTTTAGAACTTAATATTCTGCTCTTGCTCTTCTTTTCACTTTAAGTAATAAACACTCAAAATGCTGTTAAAATGCTCTTCCTGATATAGTGCTCTGTGAATGCAAGTTGTGCAGTCAATTTCCTGAACAGTGATTTTAAGATGTTAATTCCTATCCCTGGAATACTGTTGATCTGAAGAGCTTCTTACAGGCACCTGTATTTTGTGTTAAAGATGCCCATGCTATGAAGGTGTCAGCTTTTTTTAGCAGCAATTTTTGTTAGCGTGTTATTGCAGCAGAAGCTATATTCAGTTAACAGGTAGCCCCTAAAATAGAAATATTTGTATTTTTGTGCACATTAATAAATGCATAAGTAAACATTCTGTATAGACATAGAATGTTAATTCTGCAGTAAAGTTACCAGACATTACAACTTACAATAAAACTACTGGACCACAGTGACAGCCATTCTCTGTTTCCAAGTGTACATATGTTTTTGTTAAGGAAGGTGTCAGATAAGTGCAGAAAAAGGAATGTGTTTATATTTGGGATGAGCAATCCTGTTATGCTATTTCCAAGTCTGCGTTAACGCTGCATGTTTTCATTACGTTCCAGAGATGGCAAAAAAAAAAAAAAAAAAAGGAAAAAAAATCAATGAAATTGCAGACAAAGCCAAGTAAGAGAGGGATAAAAAATGAATCAAGAGAAGCCTGTGTGTAAAGAAGCAAAGTGGGAAAATGAATATTTTAATCCAAGTAAGTGTCTATGCCAGTCTAGTTTTTAGAGGCTGCTCTGTTTCAATGAAAGTTCAGTTAGTAGAAAACCAGCATTATTAAAAGCATGAAAAGGGAGTTGCTCTTTGAAAGAAATACGAATTTAACTGATGGAAGAAACAGGTCCATGAACCGTAGCAAGTTTTACGAACACTAAATATAGTTCAAGAGGTTTGAATTGCTCTTTTAACTCTTGCAAATCTTGGTGTCTGCTGTATGTTTGTGAATTCCTGACAGTTCTCCAAATGTAAAATGTGTAACGCGGTGGATTGGTCCTAAAGTTGCAATGCTGGGTTTTGTTGTTGTTTCTTATTCCTTCTGAGGTGTTCTGCACTCTCATATTCCTTTCCATACGATATGGAAAGCCCTACCTCTTAATGATGTCTCAAGAAACGAGGCATCTTTTGATGCCACAGTCCAGTAGCATCATCCTATTCAGCAGTGACACATCTGGGGCATTTCAGCGTCTACCATTATAACAGACATGCAGCTTTAGACGAAATACAATGGTTTGGTTGTGTTTCAGACATCCCCGGTGCTTTGAGTTAATCAGTGTGCTTATACGATATGCTTGGATACAGTGATGTTGTAACTGCTTTTTTATAGGTGTGGTAGGTGTGAAGCTAAAAGGTAGGAGCCTATGAATCCAGACCAGTCATTGGAATACCATATGGAGCCTGGCAATGATATTGCACAAATCAGTGCTTTTGTACGGATGTATTGATTTTTATTTAGAAATTTGGAAAAATGACAGAGTGGCTCTGAATTAAGGATCTTCCAGCTAAGCCGTGCTGAGGGACTTAGGGGAGGGGCTCAAATGAATCAAGGGGTAATTGCCATGTGAAGACAAATTGCCAAATGATCAGTACCTTCTTTTCATAGATGGCCATGAAGACTTATCTCAGTGAAGCCCCTCAGAAGTCCAGCATGTTGGTAAGGCATTGGCACGAGCTGCCCAGATGGTGGTCCCTGGAGGTATTCAAGGACCGTGGGGATGTGGCACTGAGGGGCATGGTTAATGGGCATGGTGGAGGTGGGCTGATGGTTGGACTAAATAATCTTTGTGGTCTTTTCAAGCCTTAATGATTTTATGATTCTAAAATGAGCCTCTGAGAGGGCAAGGAGACCAGCTCCCCCGCAGCCCAGCACCTTCAAGAGTCTGCCCCAGCCAGAGCTTGTGCTCATTCTGAGGTAAATCATAAAAGTTTGCTTCTGAACAGTCATTCTGTTGAGTGTGTCTAAATCAGCTTTTGCAGTCACGTCAGTTCACAAGCTGACAGCTTAACTTAAAACACAGAGTACAAGCTCCACTGTCCTCAGTGCCGTGAGACTGCCCTGAAGACGTGGAGCCTGCTCCAGCCCTCCCTCCCCAGGGTACCACAGCTCCCCACAGACCCCTGGTTGGTGGCTGAGTGCCACAAGTTACACTTCTGAATGTGTCATTACTGCCGTGTTACTGCAGTGACTGATTTATTATGCAAGTCTGCGGTTATACTGTAATCAAAAATCCGTGTGGCTTAAGGGAGAGAGGATAGGATAACCAACGTTAGCAGGGAGTGGGTTTGGACTCTGTAGGTGTTGAGTTGTCACCAGAAATATTCAGCTTCCCTTTAATATACTGCACAGTGCATTACCTTCTTCTGAATTAAAAAAAAAGCGAACCCTGATAACGAATTAAAAGACCTTGTCATATATTAAAGAAACTTAAAAGACTGAAAACAGGGGGAACAAAGGGGTAGTCAATATAGAATGTGATATCTCAAACAAGAGCCAAGTTAAGAAATGATTGGGTGTTTACTGGCCAAAGAAAACAAATCTCTGTTAGGCCTACCCTGCCCTCCTAAGGCTCATATACCAACATATGGGAGCTCTATGGTGGAAGTTTACGTTTAATTCTGTTTTATTTTACTTGGCAATTGTATTCCTCCAACATTATTGTTTTTCAGCACTCAGTATTTTTAATGCTGCATCTCAACAGAAGATATAAGAGCACAGTCAATCAGTCCTGCAAAAAAATTAAAAAAAAAAAAAATATATATATATATATAAATGTCCCTGTCATGACATGAAGCATAATTTCCAGGGAATGACCTAGAGGAAAATCTTCATTTTAGCCATGAAGAACCAATATCATGCCTCTACAGTAGATATATGAGAAATGTACCAAATATCAGTCATTAGCAGACTGCTACAACTATGATCTCTATTCTTGATTTTGAATCTATTGACAAATGAACTTGTGCTAATACTGCATTTTTGTCATTGTACACGTGTTTGCCACCCAGTGTTCTGGGCCAGCATTAAGACAGATGTGGTACTGAGGACCAAAGACTGACTTTACCTAAAGGAAAGGATGCTGACAGAAGGTGAGGAGGAGCACGTTTTCACCAAAAGGGTGAACTCCCATCGGTTCAGGATTCTTCGTTCATACCTCATCATGTAGAAAGATGTCAAAAATGGCAGAAACCATAGATGATGGTCAGTGGAGTCAATGATAAATTGCAGGAAGAATTGAAGTGTCTAGAGAAAATCCAGGAGCATTGAGAATGTTACTGTTCGGGAGATCTAACGCTGAACATCAATGTGTCCAGTGCCCAACGTGTTGGAATAAAACAGAAGTGTCAGGGAAGAGTAAGAAGAGTAGGAATATATATTTCTGTCATGTAGACTCCTGTGTTCCAGCTATTTTTAGTTTATGGAATTTCGTGAATTTCTTGATATTTGTCTGTATAGCAGCCACTAAGGATCACTTTTCCATGTCCTTATTCAGATTTGTCACAAACATGCATAAATTTCTTGCATCTATTGTATGCATTTTTCAGTTTTACTATTACCTGTGGCATGCAGAAAATCTACACTGGTTTGAACCTGGCTCTCTGTATCTTCGTCTGTTTGTGTCTGGTTCTTGTGCTGAAAGAAGCAGCAGTCTTTAAGCCCTTTATGTCTTTAAGAATTTTGCAGCCTTCCCCTCTTTATCCAGCATGAAGATTCTGAGCCCACCTAATAATTTTTTTGTATGAAAGCTCTTCTGAACTTTAATCATCTTTGTTACCTTTCTCAGAACAATTGCCCGATCTTACGATGAGGGCATGGGAACTGCACACATCACATAGGGTGTGGGTTAGTAGTGGATTTATATGGTGGCAAGATTTCCTGTTTTGTTCTCTATTCAGTCCTGATTCCTCTTTCTTATGCTTTTTAAAGTATATTTATTCTAAGAGATGTGTTATGGGTTTTCCAAACAATTAAGTGAGAAAAGCAGTGAGTATTTTGGACCTAATTTGAACGGGTCAGCACAATAAGACATAGATATCCTGATTCCATGTGTTCTTCAGAAGTCACGCAGCTTTCCTTCCATGGTGTATAATTAGAATCATGGGTCCAGGTTTTGAACAGACATCTCTGAGTTATACATGCTTCCAACGTCTGTACAAATCTCTTATTAAAACACTCATGCTTCTCAGATGAATCTGCTTCTCCCTTAAAGGAACATCGTATACAATAGGAACTTCTAAAATTACATCATTTGGACTGTAGGCATTATGCTTGAGAAACCTTTGTGCTTAATACTGGCCAACCTGTGGCTTATGTAGCACTCTTTAAACTCCCTCATGTCATGAGCAAAACAAACCACCACTTTATTTCTTTCAACGTGTCTATTAAATTCCACAGGATATTTGGGAATAGGAAAACAATCTATTATTCTAATCAACTCTGTAGGTTTTCTTCCATAATCTCTTTGCTGCTTCTTGGCCCTCTTGATGAAATCATGTCTATTATCACTTCCTACATCGTCTTACACTCTTTTTTCTTGTGTCTGTTTCTCCCAGACAAACCTCAATTTTATTATTTTGTTTGGTTAAATTATATTGTCTTCACTGCAGTCATTTCTTTAGAGCATTCAAGTTGGGTTTACGTAGAGATATTATTTAAGAATAAAAGTTTAGAGTGAGGAGCTGGGAAAGATAATTTCCTAAATTTCCTCAGTAAATCACAGTTTTGACTAGACCTAGGCCAACTCTGACCAAGACAATTTAGAACTGATTTGGGGTATGTCTACGTTATTCTAAGAAAGCTGCTGTAAGTGTATACTTGGATGGGTTTTCCGTAGGTCTTTGCAAGTCTGGACTCCGTTTTATGGCGTTCACATTTCTTCAGTTGTGAAAACAGAAGAACATGATGTAGTATTTACCTTACTCCTTCACATGCCAAACATCTTAAATTGAAATAATCTCTGTATTGTAATGACTCATTCAGTCAGAGAAACTTAATGTACTTCATTCACACAAATGTTTTAACCATCATAACACTTCTGTGAACTAGTGGGGTGTTACTGACCACTGCTGGATGTTGGCCATCCTGCCAGTGTCTCCTAGGAAATTTGGCACATTTGGCAGCGCATCTTCGGAATCTCACCTTTCAGTTTCATCTGCACATTAGAAGTACTGTTCCAAAATGAAAATAAAAGGATGCTTCACTAAGAGTCAGCTCTGGCAGGAAGACATACTACAGCACTGAACTCATCGTGCTAGTGAATGCCGTGCTCCAGCAGTTTATTTAATAGTGGTGGTATTTATAGAAAGCTCCCTCCCGTGATCTTACTGCCAGTAACACAGATGTCCCTTGAATGCACTCTACTTTAAATAAAGGTGAAAGGCTAAGGAAAATATAAAAAGAACCCACCTTTAATATTTTACTCGAACAATAACAAGCAGGGTGTGGCCACTCCGAAACTGCGGTTTGACGGATGCTTGGGAGAAGGGAAGGGTGGGAAATCTCTCTGCTCACCAGTTCCACAGTCTTGTTAGCAAAAACACATCTGACACCCGCGATTGTGGCCTGGGAGATACAGTGAGAACAAGCAGTGCTCTCAGTTACTGCAGTGAATAAAGTGTCCTGCCAGTGCTTGGAACGTAACCGTGGAATAAGCATTTTTAGGGCTGTTAATGTGAATAGTGTTTGCAGAAAATGCCCTTTCCAGTTTGAGAGTGGTACGATAGTGAATGAAACCCACAGGAATACGGGTAGGTCAGAGATGGGAAAAAGTACCTTTTACTCATGGATGAGAGTTCTCCTTGGGATACCATGTAGTTTTCAGAGGGTCTTGTTTGTTTAATTAAAAGTAATGGCCTGAAGTTTCTGTGAGCCAAAATGTTAAGCCTTAAGTAATATGTATTTACCTGAAATCAACTTAGTGGAAGCTAACGGTATCCTCAGCCTGAAAGAAAAATAAAAAATCACATTTAGATCCACCCAGCATAGACTTCCAGTAACCCACAATCACCCAGAACTCATTCTCCAACATATGATGTCACCTGGAACTTGCACTCCGTTTTCTGAATTCTCCTTTTATTGGGGTTTATTCATTTAGTTCTGATTCAAGAGGAGTCAGAGCCTAAGGAAGAGTTCTAGTGACTATAGTCACAGCCAACGTGCTTGGCTGTACCAGAAGACTCCAGCAAATATCTTCCACTCTATCTTATCTAACTATGAAAAATTTCATTCTGAGAAAAGGGAGTATTTTTCAGAGTGTACAGCATGGTTGAGTACCTGCCGTAAAGCAGATTTCTCATGTCTCCAAAAATGATACAAGCAGGTTGCAGTGAGCCTAGCATCGAGACAGATTTTGTCTGGGCTCATTCAGCACATGGAAAAAATATTTCATCTCATTTCTTCACAAGCTGACACCACAAAGCCGTTCCATTTATTTTTTCCTGACATGTTGTTGTGTTGTTCAATACTGTATTTCATTTCCCCTGACTTTGGAACAAACTGGTAGGGCTGAGTGAAACTCTGATATTTCCACACTTACAAGGAAAAATGAGATCATAAAATACAAAGCTAACATCCAAATAATGATTGGGGTCCCTTTACAGTTAGCTGGATGCTGTGCAGCTATTTCTGTTGCTATCTGTGCATGGGCACTACTTAAAAAAAGAAAAGAAAAATCTACCCTACAACAAATTTTCACCTAATCTTGGGCTGTCAACTCGAGCAAATTAGCAATCCTGAAAGGCACAAATAACACAACTTCCTCATCTGTGTCCTTGTAGCTCGCAGCTGCTCTGGGCTGAATGTTAAGCACACAGGTAAGAGAAAATGGAGCACATTGGAGTCTTAGAGAGGGACTGAGCTTTACTGCATGAGAATAAATCTCTTGTGGAGTTCCATATTAGTTGAACTATGAAGGTGAATGTAGAACCAGCTGCATTTAAAAGGTATTGAAAAAGTACATAAAACATGACTCACTGCCATTTTCTTTTGTCTCTTCAATCCATTGTGGGTAAGAATCAAGCAAATACTTTTTACACTGACCCAGCAGCAAATGTTTGTTTGTCAGTTTGTTCCAAACAGCAGCTGAGGAGAGAAGCGGAGACACATCTGAGCAAAAAATCAAGGATGGAAAGTTCAGAGAATGCAACGAAGACAGAGGTCCCTTGTAAAATGAGAGCAGGAAAAACTGCTAACAGAAACAAGTCCATCATCAGTGTGGAACCACCACTCCCCTTTCCAGTGGAGTCTACTTTAGCTCTGAAGCTGGGTAAGTCATCAAATCACTTTTACCCATCTCTGGCCTTTTGCCTCTGTTGATTCTTTAGGCTGAAGGCTCCTCAGAGGTGGCAGCCTGTCCTTGCAGCCCCAGGCTCCGTGCTGCCTGGTTGGAGATATACCGTCTGTACGTTACTGTCTGGCAAACACTGCAACACAGTCCATAAATAATATTGTTTTACAACAGCCCTTTTCTTCAGATCCCAAGAAGAAGACATAACATATTGTGTTATAGGAACAGCTCTCATCTGGTAATATTAAAGATTACCCAAACTACTCTCTGGTTCCCCCAGAAGTCAGATGAAGTTGTAAAATCCCTTTCAGCAAGTTGGTGTGATTCTAACCTGAGTTTTGGCCTGAGCTTGAAAGAGTTTCTTCTGAAGAGAGTTCCTTTGAAAAATTAAGGTGTGAAATGTGTGTCTCAGAATGATCATGAAGTTTTCAGGTTTTCAGGTCTTAT